TTAGAGCAAAATTGCCTTTCACCTAGGTAGTCCTTCAACCATGACAGAAGCAGCTCCCCTATACCTGCCTGACTTATTTTGTGTAGGAGAATATCATGGTGAACTGTGTCAAATGCCTTCTCAGGGTCTAGGAAGACCAATGGATTGGAACATTCATATACCAGCATGATGTCCAGTCATCCGAAGCTGATAGTGGGTCTGTTACACAGGATCTGTTTCTCCTGAAACCATGTTGTGCTTCATGAAGTCTATTAATCCTGCCGTGGTGCTCCCTGATGTGATCATCAATTATAATATCCAGTACTTGCGATACCACTGGGAGTTGCGCTACTGGTCTATAACTAGTTGCATTTCGCCTTTCCCCACCCTTGAAGTTCGGAGAAAGGTTGGCTCTTTTCCACTCCCTTGGCTGTTTCCCCGAATCCATCGAGTGCTGAAACAAGTCGCCTGAGGGCCTACAAAGAGCTTCGACGCACTGTTTCAGAACAGATGGTCTGATGTCATCCCACTCTGGGGACTTTCCAGATGCGAGTCTCTGTAGCTTTCCTAGTAATATTGTCAAGTTTAGTTAGGGAATAGCCCCTAGGTCTTCATCCGGTGAAATAGCAGTTTCGCCATTTTAATCCGTACCAGTAACACACACTTTTCTGTTTGAATGTTTGGCGGAAGCCAAACTGGATGCTTTGGTCATCTCCAGACTAGTGGGTTGTTGACTGTTTGGACCTAGTTAGGCTCCTGACCCTGGTCGGTTGGTTTTCTTTCCAACATGAATTGGTGCAAGCTTTTAGTGTTTGCCAGGAGAATTTTGTCAATATTAGCCTGAAATGACCTTCTTTCACTCCTTACTCTTGCGTTGCACCGGTTCTTGAGTTCCGGATATCCATCGTGGTTGGTCTGACTCTTGGATATTCGCTACGTTGAACAAGCCTACCATTTTGATTGCAGAATACGTTGAGTACCTCTCCTCAACCATGAAGAATTATTCTTCAGTTGTGTTGTGACTAAAGGATCGGTATCTGAGATGGCTGTGTATATAATCTCCTTTAGCGCTTCCCAGTGTTCATCGACAGACAACTCGGCTAGGTCTAGGGGCCATTCTGCGTTGGAAAATAGCCTCTTCATTTTAGCATTGTCCGCCTTATTATAGCACAGACATGGTCGCACAGTGTCCCACTGTAGGTGCTCACGGAGAACATCACCGTATCCTGTGACTGCGTGTTCGCTACTTCCTAGTGGGGTCATGATCTGTACATTTGAGACAAGCGGTTGGTCACTAGTTAGAACATAATCTAGTTTTGACGACTTTCTATTCGGGGCCCGCCTCTTGTCGTCTCCAACACTCCCAGTCAGTCCGTATTTCAAGTGGTTTCCAGTAGACTTCGAGTAAATTTTCCCTGAGCACACGGCGAGCCAAGGTTCAGAGATGGGACATTGAAATCTCCAGCTGTGGTGATTTGGTCTTAGCACAAGTCCCGTATCCTTGTGATGGTGCTGAGCGGCAGCTGGTTTTGCTCTGGCACACAGGTGGATGATTGGTAGATAGCGCCCAGTAGGTGCTTGGTGTCGCACTCCTTTACCTCGGTTATCCAGTAATAAGACTGGTAAAGAGGGAAGGTTGGGCACAAGGCTAGCAACCCCATCCCGTAAAAATAAACACCACTGCTACCGAAACTTCAAGCCTCTAGCTTGAAGCCCCATGTTCCACTGGGAACTTGTCGGAATAAAAAAAGGTGCTTGGTGTGGCCAACGGTGAATTGACAACATATGGAGTCTGAGAGCTCAGTAAGTGGTGGGTCCGTTTCACGTATGCATTTTAGTTGGTAGCTTGTATATGACAGAAGGTCATTTGATCAGATGACGTCTACAGGCTATATTTATTGCAAAACCTCAAAATCAGGCAATTATTTTTTGTTTTACACACTTTTACACTGGTATTCCCGATAAAAGTTGATGGGATAAGGCGTTTTCAGCATAAACAGCAAATGATGGTGTCCTTATCTGGCCGTAATTTACATAGTTTACAAATAGTTGAAATACGTAGTGTTTCATTGAGAAAATGCCAAATTACTCAAAGACACACAATATGACAACTTTCAGTTTAAAGGATTAGACAAAGACATGATGAGGTAGGCTAGTTCGTTTTGTTAGTCGTTTTCATCTACTTTGTTGTGTACCTTAGGTAATAGTATCAAAGGTCCCCTACATGTACTTATTTAGAGGAAATCTACAGAAATACTCGGGAATTATTTTCACATGTTATTTGCTTCTTATACTGCATAGATTTGGTCTTTACAAGCAGATGCAATGTCCATTTTGTCTGCTTGAAAAATATTGAATGACGTAAGCACACAAAAATTACCGCATTATTTAGTATTTTCTATCACTTAGATCTTGTGTGCATAATGGTAACAATGTTTACATCTTCTGACTGCTTAATCTCTTTTTCAGGTGACAGCTACTTTAAGGGATTTCATGGAGTTGGGTGCTAAAGAAGATTTCCTCAGTGTCATTGATTTTGTATCACATGTTAATTCATTAATAAATCTATTCCTCGTTATTCGTTTGTATATTCTACTAGTAAGACCAAATATTAGCCTTCGCGTAAGTTGTGAGGTACAGAGTATATGAGGCTATCTTTGAAATACTAAGGAAGAGCTGATATTCGGAGAAGCCTATTGGTAAAAAGATTATGTCGTACTCAAATAAAGTTAATATGTCCGAATCTCAGAGGTGTTGCGATCATAAAATGTTTCGAGTTATCTATCGTCTTAGCAGGATAAATCAAATGATTCGCTGTTCATAGTCAAAAATAGAAAATAAATCAACGTGAGATAATGTGCTTGTGATTTCTACTTGTCGCAATGTACCATGAGGATAGACTGTACCTATACTGTTAGATTTATATCTCGGTGCAACCGCGGCTATCGTATTAATTAAAAACAGAAAGTCTACGGTTCGCAGCCACAGAACACGGTACGCTGCTATCTGTTCATCTAATCGCGTAAACAAAAGCTTCCCAGACGCCGCATTTACTCCCAACAGTTTACTCTTAATTCCTACCTCAGCACGTGTTACTAATGTCACTGGAACACAATCGTATTGCAACAGAGGAAACACAGATTCATTGAAAAATTGTTTACTAAGCAAACGTTAGATTTCAGATGTACAGATAATTCAGTTACTGTCACTAGATTCCATCTGCGTGCACAGCACATATATATTTCTCCGCAAGTCTGGAAAGGTCTAAGAAAAGCATTATTAACTTGGGTAGTACATGTTTGATCTGAACAGAAAATTTTTCTTCATAAGCATTTACAAGTAATCACTTTACAAACAATATATAAGTAGCTAAATAGTTTTCATCAAATTTAAGGAGCTTCGCAATTTATCGTTGGTCGATATCTAGTAGGTCCATCTAAGCGTCATGAAACGACAAAATTATTTGACGAATTCATTGTTAACTTAGATAGACAACTACTAATAATACAATCACATAAATTTAATGTACCACTTCATCTAATGGAGCAGTTGTTTACTCACTTTCACTGCATCCTCGCAATACTGATGTGGTCAACTAGCTCATTCCAAACGAACTCAAGATTAACTCTGAAAGTGAATGGAGATCCAGCGTGGCCTACATGTATTACACTGCTTACTGTAACGTTTGATACCTGTGTAGCTGTAAATAATTCCTCAAAATTATTGACCACAGCAATCATCACTGAACATCGGATGCTGACCCTCACTGTTTAAGTCGACTTGTTTAGCTGAAGGCTTCTAGTCAAGCACCCTAGCCATTTGGTGCTCCGTTGTGTCACGTGCGTGCACGATCACCAGCCAGCTAAGCATTCATTTCATCCCGCGATTCGGTCCCGAAATATATCACGTACTTTGGACGACTAAATCTGGTCTTTTCCTTTGTACTTGGTACGCGAGAAACGAGTACTTGAGAAGTTGTTGCTATAAGATCTTGAGTCAGTATACTCCGTACAATTCGCGAACGTCGATACCGTCAACCTCTAAACCTGCTTTTCGATGTCCCTGACAAGAATATAGTATATGTAGGAATAACAACAGATTCATAAGTATACGTATATGTTGCGTCAACCATGCTGTTTTTATCATGATTAACCAGACCACTGTGTATTTATACTTATTTCAGTATCTCCGAAAATAATGGTCAAGCGATAAATAAATAAATAAATAAATTTATTCTCATAGTACAGTACATGAGGGACGCCAGTTTACAGGCATCATCAAATTGTTACAGAAATAGAACCATATAATTCAATCACAATTTACAGGCAGTAGCAAGATATGCTTTACATGTTCGCTAGAGATTATACATACACTTGATAAATGTTAATCCCAGTAGTATAAAACAGCCTTTACACTTATACACAATCATTTCTGTGCAAAGTTGGAAAAATCTGCTACATTGTCAGTGAGTGCAACACAACAGGAAATACAGGAGTATTGTCTTCGCATTAACAAAAAAATCAGGTCTTTGGTGGATGGATTATAAGTGCCTGGGAAAAAAATAAAGCTTGAAGTAAATATTCATACATAACTTTGTTGTGTGCAGATTCCTCGAATTATAGTTCATTGATGTGTTATTTTGAAATCAGTGATGTGTTTATCTCATTTGATCTTCAATGTCATTGTTGGGAGTAAGTACATAAGCTTCGGACGCATTAATTAATGGATTTCTACTGCTCGTGGGTATTTTCTTAGCGTTAGGAAGGTTTATGAGTTTCAGCTGTTCCGACAGGAGTTGAGAATATTAACTGCTCAGCAACATTATGGATATAAGTTCATCACATTATCTAAGGAAAGGTGGGTTGCAGTTGGTGAGGGATATATGGTGCCCAACGAGCGTTCATCTGTCCATGCGATGTTGTGGTGTTATACCTTTTTCATGTCGGTTTATGTCCATTTTATTCCACTTATTGTGTCGGGTAGTAGTTTTACAAACGAGATTTCTTGTCTGTTTGAGGATACGTATCTTAACCGTTAATGTTTTATCTAGAATTATAAATATAGGCAAAAAACGACAGGTGTAGTATTTAAGCTTATACATTAAATGGACCTATAATTCCGGAGGCTCTCAGATAGGAACTAGGACTACTATCGTTTGCAAAGTCTTGTAGTTTGTCATTAAGCACCTTTTTGAAGGAGGTCAATGTACTTGCTTGACGCATTTCCATTGGCAGTTTATTCCATATCTGTGCATACCTAATCAAGTAAAACTTTTGCCTGGTGGTTGTTTTACATTGTTCGATAGCTACTGTACCCTTAGTGTGTCTTAGTTTGTAGCCATTGTCATCTGAAAGTCGAGTGCCATTGGTAGAGGTAAAAACTAAGTGGTTAAGAAGCTTATAGTAAAGTGTCAAGTTTAGTCTCAGGCGTCTTAGCCATAGTGTTTCTAGTCCTAGGGTATCACATCTAGTGGAGTAGTTCGCACAATTTTCGGTTCCGAGTGATTTTAACGTGAAGTACCTCTGCACTTCCTCGACTTTCAATTTGTCCTCTATGCGTATGCTACTATACATGAATGAACAGTAATCAAATAAAGGACGCACACAAACCTTGTACAGCAGAATTCTAGACTCATTTCTGTAGAAGTTCCTGAGTAGAAAGCCGATAAGTCTGCGTGACTTTGACACTTGTTTGGAGATATGTTCAGAAAATGATAAGTTATGTGAATATTTCAGCCCTAGGTCCAGTACAGATTCCAGTCGTTGAAGTGCATGGCTTTGAATTGTCAGGTCAAGTTCTAAATTGTTGCAACCTATGCAGAGCCAGCCACATTTTTCGACATTAAATTGGAGTTGCCAGGTGTCACACCATCTATCCATTTTTTCTAATTCTTGCTGTATGGCGTTTACTGTTATTCCAAGATCTGTGTTCTTGCATTTATACGTCACTTTTAAGTCATCTGCATATAGTACTGGTTTACCTACACTAAAGCATTCACAGATACTGTTTATATATATTATGAATAAGAGTGGGCCTAATACACTTCCCTGGATCACACCACTACTTACTGGTTTAGGCCTTGAGATTATCGAGCCAACTTTCGTTGTCTGACTTCGGCCACAGAGAAATGATTTTATCAAGCTCAGGAGAGGGTCACATATCCCTAGTGAGCATAACCTGCTGACTAGCAGATTATGGGGAACTCTGTCGAAGGCTTTTGTTATATCGAAATATAGTACAATTACTAGTTCTCTGTTGTCCCTACTTCGTGTAACTTCATTGAAAAAGTCTATGTGACAGGTCACACATGATCTTTTTTTAAGAAATCCGTGTTGTGATGGATTGATAAGTTCATGTTCTAGTAAGTTGTCTGACATTTGGTCTTTAACCACTTTCTCCATTATTCGGGATATTACCGGTGTTATATTGATAGGTCGTTAGTTGCATACACTGGTTTTGGCCCCTGCTTTGTGCTTAGGTAATATGTATGTGGTTTTCCACACTTCAGGATAAGTTCCAGTTTCCAACGAGAGAGTAAATATTCTAAGTAACAAGACTACCATTTCCGTGCTACCATTTTTGTACATGACAGATGGTATGTCATCTGTTCCAGTACTACCATTAGACTTCAAAGTCTCAATCGCTGAGTCTATATTTTGTATATTAAAGTCTATTTCGCCTAATTTGTGGTTACTTTTGCAGGTCATTTGGAAATTTTGGGTCGGGTGCACTCTGGCGTCATCGCAAAACCACTAATTGAGGAGTTCACTTATAATCTGGGGATCATTGTATATTATACTCTTATGTTCCAAGCTGCTTACAGTATCGTCTTTACTGCTTTTTAGACGTTTCTGCAATATCCTACAAAGTTCCTGAGTTTTGGAGTTACCCACAAGCGCTTTATTTTCTTCAAGTTGTGACATCATTTTGCGTTTATCTTCAAGCCGTTTAAGAGTTTCATGTATTTGGTCTAACGCATTAAATTCCTTAAATACATGGTATTTCCTTTTCAGTTTCCTTAGTTTTAGTCGCGTTTTGCGGTCTATAAATGGAGTTGGTGTCTTAAGAGCAGATTTTAGGGGCGCGATTATGTCTCTTGCTGAGCCAATTGTTTTGTAGAAAATATCAAGTGATAATTGAAGTTGCATGAAGTAATCACCTCTTTGGAACATTGTTTGCATTCTTGACACTCCTGCGAAGTCCTTAGATCTTAATATGGCATGCATTCATTGAATTCAGCAAATAAATCCTCTGGTATATCGCTTCTATCCTGAGCTGTAATAGTACGTGGTGTCAGTTATGCACCCGACTTGATAAAACGCTCCTGGAAATTGCGAACTTACCTAAGCAGCTAAATGATGTTTAAAATTACCACAGCCAATCACAAGCGAGCAAATCACTTGTTTACCTAACTCGCGGGTACACGAAATTACGGCCGTCGACAGGCTGGGCAGAGGATAGAGGCACAAATCAGCTGATTGCTGCAGTTTTAAGGTGTTATCGTGGTGTTGTGTTTGGACTATTCTATGTTGTTTTTAGTGTTTTTTCGACAGAAATACGTTTTACATACCGTATTTTAAAGAAAAAAAAGTGTAAAAGTGAGAAAAACTGTCGTTTTCAGTGTTGTGACAAAGTGCTATCCTTCCATCGAATTGAAATGCTGAGGTGCATTAGAAATGTCAGAATTCGTTGGAAAATGTCAATTATGCTAGAAAATGCTGAGTAATTCCAATTTTTATAGTGTATTTTACGTAAATGATGAGGAGGGGGTTAAATATTGAGGTAATTATGATTTCGCGATCTTTATCAAATCTCACAGTAAGAAAGTAAACTGAGTTGGTTATTTCGTCAGATAACGGTGAAGAGACAGTCACTTTGTAGTGACCCGTTTTATTACTCATCATCGCAGTATACTTTAACTATGTAATTGGACTTTGATTTGCTTATCACTCTAAAGATTCCGTGTTAACGAATAATAATAATAGTAATAATAATGTTACTTTTGTACTCGCTCAATTTTTGAATTTTGACTACTGCGACAATACGCGATCGTATTCTTTCGCAAGTGCCTTTTGAATTGCATTGTAGATGTTGAGCAATCACAACGTTGGGACACAATTATAAACGCGAAGAAGCACTAGGATATTCGTGTACGCTAGTTTGGTCAAAATAGAGCAGCACAACAACTTCACTGGTAGGTACTATGTTTTAATTTTTTTATTTAACTCATCATTTTGTGACTGAATTTTTGTCATTTTTAATTTCAAGATTGTGATATTCACTTCCGCAGTCACTCAATACATTTAGACATTCTAACTGGGTTAAAAAGGGTAATATTTGTGGTATTACGAATGTATTCATCGAAATAAATATTGTTTTAAAAATTTTGCACTCCATTCATGCACTATTAATACTTACTGTTTGTCGAGTTGCGTCGGTGACACGGCGGTTAGGACTCTCGCCGACCACGCACACTGTCCGAGGTTCGATCCCCCGCCGACGCACACCTAATATCTGTGGTTGGCCTGCTAAAGTTGGGCTACCGATATCACATGCTGAAAATTTCATACTTGTGCCAAAATAAAGTGCGGAATCAAGCTATAATAAAATATAAAATATAAATATAAAAGTGATGCCAGTGTACAGAAGACGTAATATTTGTAAAATGTCATTTTTACACGTGGTTGAATTTGGTCACGATGGGGGTACTGTTATTGCTTTTGAGTAATTGCTTTCGCTAGGAAACCTTAAACAGGCGATGTGCAAAACAAAAGCCTATCTAATGAGTTACAGTGTTTTATGATAACAAAATAATCAATGAAGTTTAGTGACTTGGTCAACTAATACACGAGTCTAAGTGTTGATGTGATCATGTAAGAGCCTATTAATACGAAATGATAACACAAGAAGAGTAATGTAGTTATCTCTATTACATAACGATTTCCTTTGAGACAGTGGTGTTAAACGGAACATAAGAATAGCAGACTATTCGTGATAAATAGGATATACGTTGCATAGTGTACTTGAAGTGCCTAGACTACCAATACAAGTCGTGTACTTATAGAATCTACGTTTACTAGGTTATGTTTCGTTATCACAGTACCAACACATGTTTGGCGGCTACTTTCTTAACAACAGTGAATACTAATATTGTACGCAGCCGGATCCAACGTAACTGAAACACTATACGCAAGGCTTGATGATGCATTGAGGAAATAATAACAGTTCAACACTGACGCATTTCACATAATTATTAATACGTTGCCTATCATTTTCGTTAACTCTGCAATGTCCTCAAAATGATAAGTAAAAGAGACAAAGTTAGCCGACATAAGTGCATATATTTGCAAGGAAACAATTATCAATCAAGTTAAAAATAACTCAGAATGAAAGAGCATATATCCACACTAAAAAGAGTGAATAACAATCCAGTGAAAAAAATCACAGCTATAGAGCTTTTTTATAGCTGCATCACAGTCATCATAATGTCTACCAAACACTCTATCCGCAATATCTGTATCGGTTTGTCCCCGTTGGTAGTGGTGTTCCACCAGTCTTTGCAGTTTTCGTCACCACCAGATCTGTTCGGAGACACTGGATGTGAACTTTTCAAGCAGAGATTGAGATCGTGTTCCTTCGAATGCCTTCGGCCGTACTGAGAAATATCTGAGGATGGATACATATCAGGTTAATTCATCTTACCTCTGGTGAATAATTCCTTATCTTAGCTACACTGATTATGTGAACAAGGGAGGGAACAATCACAGAGTTGGAGAAATTCTATAGATTAGTCTTCTATATATTCCACGATAGATTTCAGGAATTGTGTAATTTTTAAATCACCTGTCACATTTCCTCTTCTGTAAAAAGCAAATATTATACAAGTGACTCTTATCCATCCGTTACAATCAACTGAAAGAGATGAAATGTTCAAACTTTATACTCCTTTGATTAAGTTACCCAGTAATACTCTCCTTGTGAGTGGATTCAATGCTTGTCACATCTGTGAAATTTATACACATGTTAACTTGTTCCCTTAAGCTAAAAAATATAATGTCTATCTGCTTTTATTATTGCTACTTCAAAGCCCGCCTCAGTAACGTACAACAAGTATTTGCCGCGACGTTTATGCAAAGGAAAATCCACCAATCGCAATGTGCGTAAGTGACCTTCAAGTGTTCAGCCTCTCCATTAGCCATTTGTGCTGCTATCCTTTGTCCAACAGGCTGACATTTAAGTTGCTTGTTATCTTTGCATCTCTTGATCAGAATCGTATCATTTATACTGATTTCGTTGTTGGCGATAGTGAGGATTATCCAGGTTTCAATAAGGACGATTATTTTAAGGTGTAGGTGTGACTAGAGGTTTTCGAGTTCACCTACCTTGCATCTCAGCCCTCTCACATCGCTATGCAGGTAGCTGACAATGAGCCCCACAAACTCAGCATGTTGTTGGTTAGTTGACGTTACTCTGTATTCTGGTAGGGGATTAAATATTGGGACTAGTCGGCAGATTCCGATGGAGCAGACCCGTCGTCGTTTTTCCTTGGATTCGAGCATGACACTTGGGAGACACTGACTGTCATTCTAAGTACCGCATCACTTTAGTATCACTGGGGCTCTGGAACGTAACAGGGTCTCAGTTTGCCACCTACTTATGGTTCAAGGTCTGCTTCTGCAGCATCGGATGTGTCCTCCAAATTTACCTTCGGTTTCTTACCACCATTGAAATACTGTGGTCAACTGATCCCACGAGTTGAATTTGACGCTTAGCAGCCTTGAAGAACTAATCAGTGTGAGATAAGCGGGGCAAGATAGTCGGAAAATTGAGACTGTTCCAGAAGCCCCAAGAGTCATCTGAGGTGACAACCATTTCCATTGCTGTACTTCATGCACGTGCTTCTCGCAATCAGTGCCAGTTTCCAGCTCCGGAACACCATGTATGACCATAGAGGTAGAATGCACCAGTTCTGGCGACTCTCTCTATTTCCCTGTTAGCCCGTAGCCTGTCATGTCTCATTCTTGAGCTGAAACTCCGGTGGACAGCCGTTACGTGAGCCAGTAATGTTATTCTTCCATCCTCTTCGTCAGAGCCCAGTGTAAAGCTTAATGAGGTTGGCTTGCCCTGAGGTTCCTGAACACCACTGT